CGCATCGCACTTAGACATTTTCTTCATTTTGCAAGCCTTTCACATGAACATTTCATACTCAGTATGTCGAATAAGTGAAGAAAATAATTTTTCGGGAAAATCTTTGACTAGGTCTCTGAATCCCACCTATATTCTTTGTTAGTTCAGCGTGTGGTGCTGATGATACTCTGTGTTCTCTTCTTGGTTCATGTATGGCTCAATAACGCTGGTCTGCATGATTTTTTTTATTTACTCTGTGGTATCTTTCTCTGTATATATATATATATATATATATATATATATATATATATATATATATATATATATATATATATATATATATATATATATATAATATATATATATATGTATATATATACCGTCACTTTTCTTTTTTCGTATAACATAAGTAAATGAGAAAGTGGTTTATTACCAATTAAAATGCTTACCTTATAATGACTTAAATATTAAATCTAATAAATTTTTCTTTATTTTCAGATTATTAATATGTCTAGAGGCTGTATAAATTCACCAGACATATTTTGTCTGCGGGCAATTCATCCCTTCAGATTCTCTGAACAACATTACTCTTTAATTGAAGCGCTGCTACTTTGCTTATTTTGACAACAAACTTGGAGACCAGGACAAACCATTTACACCACACAAAGCTTGCAAGAGTTGCATCAGTAAGCTCCAAATGTGGTCAGTTGGAAAACTTAAATGTATGTCCTTTGGAGTACCAATGGTCTGGCGGGAGCAGATGAACCACCATGATGACTGCTACTTTTGTATGACTGAAGTAGCTGGATTCAACAAGAAGACTAAAGATCGCATAATATACCCAAATATTCCTTCAGCAATAAGGCCTGTTTCACACTCTGAAGATATTCCTGTGCCTGTGCCACCTGAGACATGGCAAATTTCATCACTGATACCAGTGATTCTAAGGAGATGGAAGTAGACTATGAACCACCAACAAATGACGATCCTAAACCCTTCAACCAAGTTGAGCTCAATGACTTGGTGAGAGACCTTAACCTTGCAAAACAAAGAATACAGTTACTTGGCTCTAGACTGAAGGAACTCAGGCTTCTTGATCCTGGAACAACATTCGCTTGGTACCGTCATCGCGAAGCGGAATTCACTCAGTTCTTTGACAAAGGGGAATCTTTAGCTTTCTGTTCAAATATTTCTGGCCTTATTGAACACATAGGAATGTCATACAAAGCAGATGAATGGAGACTTTTCATTGATTCTTTTAAAAGAAGTTTAAAGGCTGTAATTCTCTACAATGGCAACACAGCTGCATCTGTGCCAACTGGGCATATTGTCCAAATGTCAGAAACTTACGCAAATATGAAGACACTAATATCTGCAATCAAGTACCAGAATCATGATTTTCTCATTTGTGGTGATTTAAAAGTTATTGCTCTCCTACTAGGTCTTCAAGGCAGATACACCAAGTATCCTTGTTTTCTGTGTCTGGGATAGTAGGGCAGACAGCCAGCACTATGAACAAAAAAACTGGCCACCAAGAACCAGCTTCTTAGCCGGAAATCACAACGTGAAAACTGTGCCATTAGTTGACCCCAAGAAAATTCTGTTGCCACCACTCCACATCAAATTAAGGGTTATGAAAAATTTTTTGAAGGCCTTGAACAAGAATGGAACTGCTTTAATGTACCAGGAGTCAAAGTTTCCTTTTATAAGTGAAGGAAAGCTAAAGACAGGAATCTTTGTTGGCCCTCAGATTCGGGAATTGCTGAAGGACAAGCATTTTGATGAAGCATTAGCAGGTGTCGAGGTGAATGTCTGGTTTTCATTCAAACAGATTGTCCACAACTTCCTGGGAAACAGACGCTCCCCCGAATATGAAAAAAAAAATATTCAAGATCTGATTTCAAGTTTCCAACAACTTGGGTCTAGAATGAGTGTGAAGATTCACTTTTTCCACTCACATCTTGACTGTTTTCCAAACAACTGTGGGGACTATAGTGAGGAACAAGGAGAGCGGTTCTATCAGGATATTTGCACAATGGAAACTCGATACCAGGGCAAATGGAATGTCAGCATGATAGCAGATTACTGTTGGTAATTGAAACGTAATGGTCTCGATGCACAGCACAAGCGAAAATCAGAGTGGTCTTCCTTCCTTTGATTCAATGTGTAAGCTAACCATTAGGAGCATATTTTTTTAATAAAAGCATTTGATTTGATTCATGTTGATTTGGAATTCATATGTTCATAAAACTAACAGAATGTGGTTTTCCATGATTACTTGCCTAATTTTAATAAATTGACAATTTATTAAAAATTCACTTTTTTTATTAGCATTAATCTGTATTTTATTCAATATCTTAACGTGATAGAGCAAAATGGTTTAGATATTTACAGTCAGCAGTCCAAGAATATGTAAGATCGCAACCATGAATAAAAATAAAAATTAAAAACATTCCAAATTATCATTATTCTTTTTCAAATCTTCAAACTTCATAACTGCGTTTGCTCTCATTAATTTCCA